TTTTTTTGGCCTGGGCTTGCCTTGAATCACAATCTTCCCATCTCTGCTTCCCATGTAGATATGATTACAGGTACCACCACATCCTTCTGTTTTTCCAATCTTTTTTCTACTTCACATTATTTTTACTTTTTGAGTTTAATTTATAACATGTCTTTTTCTAATTTTTGGGGAGGTGGGACAGATATGAACTCAGGGCTTCACCCTGGCAAAGCAGATGCTCTACCTCTTAAGTCATACCTCCAGTCTGTTTTACTGTGGTTATTTTTGAGATGGGGAATCACAAACTGTTTGCCAAGGCTGGCCTTGAACTGAGATCCTTCTGATCTCAGCCTGGCAAGTAGCTAGGATTACAGGTGTGAGTCTCAGTGCCCAGCATAAGTAAATTTCTTGTTAGTATATTTGCCATAAGATTTGGGTGATATTAAACCCTTTGTTTTGGTTTAAAACAAGGAACTTGGTCAGCAGAGTATCTGTCATTTGGGCTTTTCCTTAGTGAAATAACTGAAATAAAGGTCAAACTATTCAGAGCCTCATTTTAGGCATCATTACTTTAAATAAGCATCCCTGTGTTAATCTGAAAAATCATTGGTTTGTCTCTTCTGCATCTCCCTTTACAATAGCTATTTTCCAGCACTATTATATTGCAGTACCATGTGCAGTACTGCAATGCAGATTAAGTTCATTTTAGTGTTACTGTTCTTCCTGAATATAAGCTTTCAAAGACATCCAGAGAGTTTTCCATTATAGGCTGTGCTGACTCAGAAATAAATGGAAGAAGATACGAAGATAAGATATGTTTAGCTCTATATTAGCCACTTAAGTTCCAATATCTCTGTTGTCAGTCTCTGCAGTCGTAACAATGAGACTTACGTGGTTTGGTTTTTGGCTTTTCTGATTTTTTGTTTGTTTTGGTAAAACTGAAGTTTGAACTCAGGGCTTTGTACTTACAAAGCAGGTGCTTTACTTCTTTAGCAAAACCTCCAGTTCATTTTGTTCTGGTTATTTGGAGATGGGGTCTCATGAACTACTTGCCCCAGCTGGCCTTAAACCTTGATCCTTCCAATCTCAACCTCCCAGTTCTAGCTAGCTTGAATTATAGGTGCAAGCCACTGGCACCTATAACGTAAGGCTTACGTTTTTGATGGTTTTGAAATAATGTCTGTAGGATCTTTATGAGCAATAAATAATTCCCTCTTAATTTTCTATCATGAGTTTGCCTACCGAAGTTAAGCCATAAATTCGTCAAGGAATTTTAGTCTGTTTATAGAAAAAGGCTGAGCCATTCTCCTTGGATTTTAAGATAACCAAACTGATAGATCTCTTTATTTTGGTTTCATAGAATCATCCCGATGTCGCAAGCAAATTGGCTACTTGTCCCTTCAATGCTCGCCACCAGGTTCCTCGGGCTGAAATCAGTCATCATATCTCAAGCTGTGATGACAAGAGTTGTATTGAGCAGGATGTGGGTAAGCCTCACTAGCTAAAACATTTCAGAACTAGAGGTTAGCCACTCCAAATTTGCATTATACTACCATTGTGAGCTTGATTTCTTAGCATTCACTATTTCAAAAGAACAATATTTTTCTGCCTTTGAGATTTTATCTCATAGCAACAGTAGGTTGTCAGGGTGTGTGTGTGTGTGTGTGTGTGTGTGTGTGTGTGTGTGTGTGTGTGTGTGTGTGTGTGTGTGTAGACTGCTTTCTCTTCTGAACAGCCTGATGCATTTTACTAATCTAAAAATAAAATCCTTTTATTGTCATAAATATGTAATGTATTTATTTCTACCTCTCTTTCTTGTCTTCTGTCAGCAAAAAGATAAAACCTTTCTATTTGGTTTTTATACTATCCATTTTTAGAAATAAAGACCCATTAGGTCACCCTGCAACCTTTTAAGCTACTAACCCCTGTAAGCCCAATAACTTGACAGTGCTCCCTTATGTCAAATTTTTATTGTCTTGCAGTCAACCAAACCAGGAACCTTGGACAGGAGACTCTGACTGAGAGCACATGGCAATGCCCTCCTTGCGATGAAGACTGGGATAAAGGTGAAGAGCCACCACATCTTTTTCTTCACCATGGTTAAATCTCAAGTCACTTGCTTAAGACATAAGGAAGATTTTCTTTTTTTTATGAACACACCATGTTGTTCTGAATGCCTTATTATTTTTATTAGGCCCCAAAATGAGCACATTTGTATCACTGGTGCAGACATGTAGAACAGCCTATCCCTCTTGATTGCAAAAAGCACTTCTTTACATCTGTTTTTTTCCATAAATTATGTTGTACCATGTGTGTTTGATTGTTACTAGGCACATTTATTATTATTTATGTCACTCGTGTTTATATCCTTCAATTAAATCCCTGCTTCTGTGTCGCTTAGGCAAGGTATTTGATCAATTTGTACTTGAATCTCTAAACTTAGGTGTACTATTTCCCATCTTACAAATTCAACTAGCATGAACTGGTATCTTATCTAGTACTGCCACAAATTATGTTTTGCTTTCTTTGGCAGATTTATGGGAACAAACTAGCACCCCATTTGTCTGGGGCACAGCCAACTTCTGTGGCAACAACAGGTAAATAAAATGGTCTCATTCCCCAAAATCAGAGTGTTCTATTACTTAAAAAAAAAAAAAGCCACCATCATTCATTGATGATTTTCTTTGGTGGTAGCATAGTACAAGTATTATTTTAGTGAGGGTTTTTTCTTATTCTTTTATTCATAAAAAGGTCATGTGCTTGTACACATGGAATCACTGGAAATATAAAAATACTACCTTATAGTTTAGTAAGGGAGACAATAGTTCCAAACATTCTTGTGTTTTAATTAGTTTTTTTGCTAGGTTTGCATTCATTGTTTTAACATCATTTTTACTGTAGGTAACTAGTGTCTAGGGAAAAAAAATCCTAAAAGTTCTTAATCTGAGATTGGAAATCCAGAGTGTCTACTGGGTAGGAAAGAAAATGTATCTCTCTTCCCAATAATTTTTATATCTAATTTAAAATTAAAAGATTTCTCATTACCACCAACACTCAGACCTTAGAAGATCACAGTTTCAAACCCAAGTGAGACTACTAGATTTATAATGAAGGAATAAGGTGCTAAACTTCATTTTTGTACATATAGAATGCTTATCAATTTTTTATTTCTTAGTATATGCCCAAAAATAGAAAAACTTAAAAGATTAATTACATTGGCTGCAATATTCTATTTACCTCAGTTCTGTGAGATTTGCTGCTTTTGGTTAAGTTGAATGGCATTTTAGTTTATCTCTTGTGTTTATTGAGTGAGTTGATGAGCCTATCATACAGCTGAACAGTAGATGGCATTGCTGTTTATCTCAATTTCCAGAAAATGAAAATGGTTAGACCCATCTTAATGCCTGTACAGAACAGAGAACTTTGCAGAGAACTGGTAATCATTCTAATTGCAGGAGTGTTTTGATGAAAATGTGTTCACATTTTAGATGAATGTAGGTTGTTGTTTTAGCCCAGATTACAGAAAACACATTTTGATTATCTTGTGTGTGTCTGTCTGAAGAATACAAATATGCTTACATAGTCAAATTCCGCTTTCTTTTTGCAGTTCTGCAAGCAACATAGTTATGGAACATAAGAGTAACCTGGCTTCAGGCATGCGAGTTCCCAAGTCTCTGCCATATGTTCTGCCATGGAAAAACAGTAAGTGAAACGAGCCAAAATGCTTTTCTTTTTTTTCATTGTGACAAAAACAGTTGGTCTTGATTATTCAATCTGAACACTTTATATGGCCCTAAAATTGAATGCCTCCACAAAGTTTTTTGTCCTAAGCATCTCACTTCACCCTATTCCTAGCCCTGGTTAGAAACAAGAAATTATAGACAATAAAGCACAAGATCACAGACACCAAAATAATACTTCCAAAATAGGGTGATCACTGACATCAAATAGCATGAATAAATTTGGGGACCAGTGGAAAGACTTGTGAGGGCTGGTGGAGTGGCTGCCTAGTAAGCATGAGGCCCTGAGTTCAAGGCCAGTACCACCAAAAAAAAAAAAAAGACTGTTGATTTTGGTTAGGAGAAAGTCATCCCTGATTGTCAAGGCATAATGTCAGTAGCAAATTGGAATAAGGAACTATATTGCAGAGACCTAAAAGGAAATAGGTAGAGAGAAAAAGAAAGTCATAAGAATCAGCATAACAAATGAGTTTTGATGTTTTCCCTAGATATTTGAGGCCATGCTGGTTAAACAGTACTAAATTTATCATTTCCCTGATAAATTTCCATATTGCCAGGCGCTAGTGACTCACACCTGTAATCCTAGCTACTCAGAAGACAGAGATCAGAAGGATCACAGTTCAAAGCTAGCCCAAATAGTTTGAGAGACCCTATCTCAAAAATAACCAACACAAAAAAAGGGCTGATAGAGTAGCTCAAGCGGTAGAGTGCCTGCCTTGCAAGTGTAAGGACCTCAGTTCATACCCCAGTATTTACCCCTTAAAAAAAGAAAAAAAAATTGTACATTTGGAATACCCAAGATAGTATGACTTTATTCTAATGTTACAAATTCAGATTGCTGATTTCAGTCTTTGCTGATATGTGAACTAATTTTGAGTGAGTAGAGGATTTCCTTCAAAATATTGCCCTTTGAATACTTCCAAAAAAAATGAGAGCACTAAGTTATATGCCAGAACGCTTCAATAGGTGAAAGACTATTTTCTTTTAAATGGAATTCAGACCTAATTTTGAATTTTTCTACTTCTTTGTTATTATTCAGTATACCCCAGGAATAAATAATTTGTGTTTAGTAAACATTGAAAATGGAGTGAATTTCAGTTGACATGGTATATTTATTTTAAAATATTTCTACTTGCAGATGGAAATGCACAGTAACTGAACATCTTTCTCAAGTAAGTATTTCAGTTTTATGTCACTATCTCTTCAGATGGTTGCAAGATTTAACTGGACATAAAGCAGTTTAGGTCCAATTTTCTTTCAGATTATGGTACCAAATTAAAGCTTTGTGTGTGCATGTGTTTTTAAGTATATAGCCTCTGTTATGACTTTCTGCACTAATGAGTAGGCATTTACCAGTTAAATTAGAACTCAGTTAACATGCTAAATTGTTTCCCTGACATGAGTACACATTGCCTTATATTTTTTTTAATCAACATTGCATTCTAGATCTATCAGGCCTCTTGTAATGGACTGAGATTAATCATACAGCTGTGCTTCACTGCTCTGCAATTCTTTTCCTGTGCAGTACAGTTTAATACTCATCAAAAAATTCATACTCTTTTTTTTTTTAATGAGCACATAAAAGTTTGGGGTCTCTAAGAGTCTTCCATTGTTGATATTGTCTGAGTATTTGATTTATTAGAGTCTCACAAAATCTATGTGAAGAGACCAAAATCTTTTCACAGATAAAGCCTCAAGGTTACCCTGTGTACATGTTTGTGCTTCAAAGTTTGATACTTCAAATGCTTCCTTGACTGAGGTTGCCCAACCACTACTCTTGGCAAAGGAAATATTGTAAAGGCTTGGAATAGAATTACATCCTGACTGCCTTGCAGACAGTAAGCCTTCAGCAACTATTGAATGAATGAATAATTGCCCTTCGGGTTTCCAATCTCACTTTCTCTGGACAGTGAAGCAGATGAATCTGTGTTTAGGGTTCTTTCTGTGCCAAAACTAGTGTTTCTTCTGTTGAGAAGTGGGAAAAGATGCTAGAAGCAAATGCCCCTTTGCTGTGGATAATAGTGTTTGTCAGTTGCTTCTAGATGTTGGCCATTTTTCTTGGTAGGGTCTGACTTAAAATTGTTGAATACATCTGGAAGCCAGAAAATGAGATTTTTTTTCCCCAAAAGAGAAAGACAAAACTGCCCTGGAGTGTATCAGAAAGCATACATCGAACAGGCGTGCATACATAGTGAACTTTGAATTCCTCTTTGATATAATGCACAGATATTTGGTGAGCATACTGTGTGGATCTCTTTCTGATACACTGAAATTTTATTTTTCCATGTAACCTCTGAGGAATCAGAAAAAAAAATTGTCTAGGTTAGATAATATTTTTTTTGGTAGTACTAGGACTTAAACTCAGGGCTTAGGATTACAGGTGTGAGCCACCAGTGCCCACCAGGATATAATTTTTTTGAGGGCTGGCAGAATGGCTAAAGTGGTAGAGTGCCTGCCTAGCAAGTGTGAGGCTGAGTTACAAAAAAAAATTTTTTTTTTTTTTGAAACAGCAGTTCACTGTGTAGTCCAGTCTGGTCTCAAACTCACAATCCTCCTCCTTCAGCCTCCTGAGTGTTGGTATTACAGGCATGTACCTCCGCTCCCGGCTCTTTCTATCCTCTTGATGAAAATGGAGCATCACTTTTTTTTAATGCCTTATTGTTGCAGAATTCTCTACCTGTTTTGGAAGGATGCAAAAGAAATAGAAGACATGATTTATTCCCATAAGGAACAAGTATGGGTGGAATATTTTTGAATATGCATAATATATGAGAGTAATTTGTTCATTTAGTATGTAATGTACTTTATCCCATTTGTGTGGAGGGATTTTTTTGTTTGTTTTTTGGTGGTGCCAAAGTGTGAACTCACGACTTCACAAATACTAGGCAGGCACTTGAGCCATGCCTCCAAACACAATATTTCTAAGTGTTAAGTTTCATATATGAATATATACACCTACACATATGTTTGCAGTATTGGAGTTTGAATTCAGGACCTCACATTTGCTAGGTAGGCACTCTACCACCTGAGCTACTTCACCAGCCTGCCATTTGTGTTTTTATGAACAACTCCACTTTTTCCTGGATAAGTACCTCAGAAGCTGGTAATATTGCACTAACTTTTAGTATATACATTGTAACTACTCAAAAAATACAGTTGAATCAGGCACCAGTGGCTCATGCCTATAATCCTAGGTACTCAGGAGCAGAAGTCAGGAGGCTCATGGTTCAAAGCCAGTCCGGGAAAATAATTCTGCAAGACTCTATCTTGAAAAAAACCCTCACGAAAAAGGGCTGGTGGAGTGACTCAAGGTGCAGGCTCTGACTTCAAACTCTAGGACTGAAAAACAAAATGTGTATAGATATAGATATATATATATATAAAACTTACACATACATACACGCTCTTGAAATAATGAGTAGAGTATATGAGATGAGAAAAGTATCAATCTAAGTTAATTGGATTTAGTCCAGAATTGTCCAAGGTAGTCAGTTGCCTGGAGAGTCAGTTCTAGTGTTCTCCTCACTTGTGACTATTGACATAAGAAGTGTGCATTGATGTCTGTGTGGAATGTGTTTAATTCAGTTAGCAAGTTTCTGTGTACACAGTGGTGCTAAAGAGGTGTCAGAAGTTACTTGGTGTTTTGCCATTAATAACAGTGGATTCCTCCAGCAGACCAACAAAATTTAATTGAGTTATAGTTGGGTGGACTATTATCAGATATGGTTGGTGCTTTTTGTCATTGAAAGGAAGTAAGAACTTTTTTTTTCTCATTTCCTTGCAGATGCCAGATCCTAGAAGACTCTTGCTTACTCCTGATACCCAAGGGTTCTTCGTTTTTTCTCCTTATCTCATTATAGAAGAGTAAACTGTGTGACTTTCAAACTGACAAGTACCTTTTTTTCCCTACCACCTTTGGTTCCCTGAATTCCTGGTACCCAGAACCCTTATATATGCCATTGAGGTAGATAACTTGATAGTTTGGAAAAGTAACTACAGCCCCAGAATCAAAAATCACATCCTATTCTTGTTACTAAAACTAAAACATAATGATTTGAAGTTATCTTAAACAATCCAGCTAAAGTAGGCAGGAAATTCCGGTTAGAAAAGTAACTATATTTGTGTTTTCTGACACACATAAAACAAAATTTTGTGTGTGTTTGTGTATGTGTGTGTGTATGTGAGAGAGAGAGAGAGAGAGAGAGAGAGAGAGAGACAGGGTCTTAGTATGTAACCTAGGCTGGCCTTGAACTCATAATCCTCTTGCCTCTGCTTCCTGAATCCTGGGATTACAGACTAGGATCACAGGCCTGTACCACCACAGCCTGGGCTGGATCAAGTTTTTTTAAACATTTATAGAAATGGGCTTTTTCAGCCTGCAATCCTAGCTACTCAGGAGATGGAGATCAGAAAGGTAGTAGTTGGAGATCAGCCCAAGCAGAAAGTTCACAAGACCCCACATCTCAACCAGTAAAAAAGCTGGGTATTCATATAGCAAAATACCCTCCCTCTTTTTGAGACAGACTTTTGCTCTGTAGCTCAGGCTGGCCTGAAACAATGCTCCTGCCTCAGCCGCCCAAGTGTTAGGACTACAGGTATGTACCACCATACACCTGACCCTCCATTTTTATTTAGAATCTTTAGGACATCTTGCTGCCTGAATATTTTCGAATTAGGTTTGTTTTATTTATCTCCCCACATTCCAGCTAGAAAAACTGGGACGAAAAGCATTCCACTGCCAAACTAGGTGGTGGACTATGTAGGAGTGAAGATTGGAATGGAGGAAGAAACATGTAGAGAAGATGTAGGCTTCCCCACCTCTGTGTGAAATTTGATTCAGCTTCAAAACTTAAATGTGTGTGACCCTGGTGACTACCCTGCAATATATGTGTGAGTTTATATTTGTGAAACACCCAAATCTCTTGCTGTCCTAGCACCTGGTGGGCCTGTACAAGGAAACTTCATAATCTCTCCAGACCAGTTTTTATAAGATTTTGTTTTGTTTTCTTTTTTTTTCTGTGGTGCTAGGGATTAAACTCAGAATCTTAAGGCCTGCTAAGCACATGCTCTACCACTGAACTATACTCTCAGTCTTTCTTTTTTTTTTTTTTTTTTTTTATTTTATCATTTTTACACTTACATGGTATACATTGTTTGGGCCACCTCCCCTTCCCCCTACTCCCAGCCTCTCTAGGCCAGTTTTTGGTTGTTTTCACGTTTCATTTGGTTTGGTTTTAAAAGTGTATGGCATGGTGCCAAGCACCAGTGGCTCACGCCTATAATCCTAGCTACTCAGGAGGCAGAGATCAGGAGGATCAAGGTTTAAAAACAGCCAGAGCAAATAGTTTGTGAGAACCTATCTCAGGGGCTGGGTTGGGGGGACACAAAAAAGATCTAGTGGAGTGGCTCAACGTATAGGCCCCGAGTTGAAACCCTAGTACCACCATGGGGAGAAGGATTTGGGATCTGGTATAGATAATAGTTAGGGATTCAAATATTTCCAAAAATGTTCTCTCTAGCACTGTTTGCAAGTTTCAGGTAGATAGGGAGAGTGGGCAGGAGCAGACTGCTTCCTTCCAAGAGTTTTACACAAATCAGGATTCTGTTCTAATGAGGCAGAATTGTCATGTTTATTTACTTCTAAGCTCCAAAAACAGGGTCAAGAAAAGCCCCAGTACAATTGTATTTCTACTTCTAGCTGTGTGATCTTAACTGAATAACTGGAGAGGGTGGTAATATACTGAGGAGGAAATAAAAACACTTACATGCCCCCTAATTCTGATCATTTATGTTCGTACATTAATAACACCTCACGACAACCTCAACATAATCATAATATTACTGGAATATTCAAAACCTTTCTGGTTTTGATTGTTTTGATGATGACAGGACAAAACTGTCCATACTACACTTACAGCTGGGAGCTCCTAACTAGTTTAGGAAAATCGAGTAGATGTGTGAATCTTCCTATAATATAACTCAACAAAGGAAAATAGAAAACAGTTATTTTGTTTTTTAAATATCTAAAAAGTCAAGGTAGGACTGGAGGTGTGGCTCAAGGGGAGTAAAGCACCTGCTTTGCAAGCTTGAAGCTCTGAGTTCAAACCTTAGTCACAAAAAAAAAAAAAAGGACAGGTGAAAAATCCTAGTTTGCATTCTTCACTCCTTAGAACTTAACATCTAGCCTTTTGAAGTGTTAGTAGTACTCACTATAGAAGAATGCCTGCCTGTGTTAATTTTGGTAGCTCACAAAACAGACAGTCCTGCTATTTCTTTAGCAAACTAATGATTAAAGTTACTATTTTGTCTGGTTCATAAACTTTAAGAGACTGGTTACGATTTTTATTGGGCCTAGGATTCACTAGTGTAGGTTTAGTTTGCTAGAAATGTTGAGAGATTTCCAAAAACTAGTATAAAATAGTGGCTTTTTATTTTTACCACTTTGGTCAGGAAGTCAAACCCAGGGCCCCAAATATGCTAGGGTATATTTGGACTTTTTTACCTTTGGGATCTTCTTTTTCAGAGGATACCCTTCCTTTGGAACATGAACAGTGGAAGATACACACTTGAATTATTCTGCCTCAGTTTCAGTTAAAGTCATATGTTACAGTTAAAGATTAAGGTAGAAGTATTTCAGAACTTTAACCTAAACAGCTAAGCTCCAAGTCCTGCACTTTGGTCTTATCCAAGGCTTCCATGCTCTGCCCCTAGGAGATTTGCTTTTTTGGAAAATTGCCTTTCTCTGCAAGAGTTACAGAAGTGCTATTGTGATTTGCAGATGTTCTCACCAGAAATAAATATAAATGATAAATGATGCTTAGCTCTCCTAGTAGCTGTACCTGAGCTAAACAGTGAAAATATTTGGATTTAACTTCAAATAATGCATTGCAGTACCCCTTTCATTGGTGAGGCAGAATAGCATAGCTGCTTGTGCAGATCTCCTAGGCAAGTGAGTATATAGTATATACTCACTGGCATTCTTGGAGTCCTTTAGTTGTCCTTTTCACAGTTCATATTAAGCTCCAGAATAGGCAAAAACTGAGGAGATAGCATTTTACTTTATCATTTTTAAAGAGGCTGGTTATAAAAATTAAGAATTTGTATACTATATATTTTAAGGTGTTTTTGGTTTCTCAGGTTTGGGTTTTAGTACTGGGGATCAAACCCAGGGCCCCAAGCATGCTAGGCAGGCACTCTACCACTTCAGCCACTCTGCCAGCCCTTTTTTGTGTTCGGTATTTTCAAGATAAGGTCTTGCGAACTATGTTCCCTATTGGCTTGGAGCTGAGATCCTCCTGATCTCTGCCTCCTGAGTAGCTAGAATTACAGGTGTGAGCCACCAGTGCTCAGCTGGGTTTGGTGGTTTTTCCAGACAGGGTTCACCATATAGCTCACACTGACCTCTAACTCTCATTCCTCATTCCTCCTACCTTAGCCTCCTGAGTGCTGGGATTAAAGGTGTGAACTACTACTCCAGCTCCTCTATACTATATTTTAAATGACTGAAGCTAGACTGACTTTGGCAAGAAGAGACCTTTAGGAAGACCCTGTCTCAAAAAAAAAAAAAAACCCTTAATGAAAATAATTACTTGTCACTGAAAGAATGCTTTTCACATTCATCTGCTTACGTTTTATTTCCTTAGTGTGAGTTTCAAGTTTTTATTGGACAGCTCCTTGTATTGGTTTTCTCAAAAGTAAATCTTTATAGCAGAGGTGCAAATTGAAAGTGATGGAAAGTCTTGATCTTGAGAGTAGAAGCTCCATTGAGGTATGCTTTTGTGGAACTGGAGATTTCTACAGAAGAACTGTATTTTAGCTTTATGAAACCCTTGATAAATAAGCATTGCTATGGTTCCACCAAGTACGTAACTTTGATGGTCACCTGTCGTTTCTCAGGTGGAGAAAGGGAGCTTAGAAGCCACTTAATACTTTATGATACACTTAATGTAAAGAAGCAGGCCCTGTACAAATATGAAACATGACTTTTTTTAAAGGAAAGAGAATAATAAACAAAAAGTTCCAGATAGTGGCTATGTCTGAGGAGGAGACCAGGATGATGGGATCAGGAACACAGGATATTAGTGTAGTCTGTTTGATAATTTAGATGGTGAGTTTCTTGTGCTGGTAGTGGCAGTGATGGTCCTGGTAGGTGGTATTGGTTCTGGGGATTGAATTCAGGCCTTGAGCATGCTAGACAAGCATTCTATCATTGAACTACACCTCTGGCCCTTCTTATGCTTCATATGTATGTATTAAATACTATATAATTTAAACATTTAAGAATAATTGTTAAGATAGTTGCCAAGTGCTTTCTATAGGCAAGTCTCTCTTCTAAGCATTTTACATATTTTAACCCAGGAGGGAAGGGAGAGTCCTGAAAATTTGATCTTTGCTAAGGATTACAATTTGTTAGTAGTGAGTTGTAAACATATCTGGGATTTCTGGTCTCTAGTTTACTGCTTTCCTGAATTTTTATTATACATTCCACTTCTCACTGGAGGCATGACTCAAGTGGTGTGGTGCTTGCTAAGCAAGCACAAGGCCCTGAGTTCAAACACCAGTACTGGCAAAATAGATCACTTCTGTTTACAGTACATATAAAAAATGTAATACTTAGAATTAATCTTACTAAGGAAGTAAAAGACTTATACACTCAAATTCTCCCACTCCCAGTCTACCAGTTTCCTCCTGATCTTATTTCCCTATCTGTCAACTTGGACTCCATGATCAGTTACTTTGGTGGCTGAAACCAGCACCCTGAATTCCCTAAATCCCCTAAGTCCCCTAGTCCTCTGTCTCCACTTCATCTAGTCCCAATCAACTGAAACATTCCACCTTTTAATCTATTCCTTGTAGGTTCAATATAGAAAATACTCAGTATGCTA